TATGGTAATCATTGTTGATCACCTTGTATTCTGTTTTTACATTATGTACTATGTCCATCCTTTTGATTTGACTGACTCTTTGCTATGTCACATTTGGTTTTATTCTCTTAAAAAAAAGTAATAAGAACTGTGGGAGTAATAAAACCCAAAATGTGTAATTGTCATTGTAAAAAAGAGAGGAAAAGAAAGTGCTCTAAAGGATATAACTACATGTAAATTTAAGCATATAAGATAGATAACCATATTACTGAGTTTTTGTTGGATCATTGAACAGAACTGTTTGCAGTCTCACTGTTTGAATGTCCACTTTATAGGCTTTAATTTTGTAACTTGAACAACTATGTCACATGACAATATGTAATCTATTAACTAGCGATTTTCTAGTGCTTATTTTTTGAAATTCTGTATAACTTGTACCCTTTTTCTGTTTTTTCCTTTTTCTCCTTAAATAAAATTTTAAAAATATAGAAATATTTGGTCATGATTATGCTAATGGACCCAAGGAAGTGGCAATATACTTCCACCACTTATGAATAATCTCGAATTTAAGACATTTAGCCAATATTCAAATGAATATTGCAAACAGCTTTAAAAGGTACTGGAGATTTTGAAATAAAGTAGTTTGAAATAAACTCAAGAAAGAGGAGAGTTCATGGGTTAAGATCTTAAAAGTTCTAATAAACCTATAAAATGTAGATACACAAGTGCCATAGCTCAATAAAAGAATCTGATACCTAGAGCAAAGAAATCTTCCTCTAATTATTCTGTTGACTATATGAAGAAAATGAGCAAAGTTAAAGTCTATATATTGTGACCCAAGTGTGCAAAATACAAAGTGATACACAAAGTGATAGAGGTGGATTGTGTTGGTAACTTAAATAGAACATGTTGCATGCAATTGGAAGCTTTTAGTAAAGTTCCAAACAATTTTTTTCCATAATGAGTAAGATAGTTGTATTTCTGAAAAATAATAAAACTGTATTATGAGTATTTAGAGTTGAAGGGTAAAATCAAGGTCCTAGGCTGAAACTTCAGTCTCATTCACAAGAATGCCTAGATGGATGCATGAAAGTCAGCTAGTGTACAGAAAAATTCTTCATTGTATGGCATTACTCCTCTAATTACAGGATGTCTAGAATCCTTGCCAGAAACATTCTCTTCAATTACTGTTGACTACTTGAAAAGTCTTCCAGAAGTACCCACAATGTCCACTGGGGGCAGTGAGACCCTGTTGCCAGACATTGGTCCAAATCTGTTCCTGTCTTGCCTCTCACCATCTCTCATGGGGACCTCCCAATTTTTCTCCCTCTTTGCAGTCTTTCCTGCCTATAAGTCAATGCACATACGATCATTTCCTCCACTGAACTCTTCATTGGTTCCCAGTTTTTAGACTGGAGGTCAGTAATCTGATTCTGTCATGTTTCAGACCTGATTCCTACTACTCTCTCCTGGGGATGCTGTATTCTTTTTCATATGGTCTCCAGAACAGAGAAAAGAATGCTGGTTTTTTTTTTTTTTTTTTCACCAACATTTTTTGGTTTTTTTAGACTGGAGAATTCTTACTAAAGAATGCAACTAAGGCATTACCTTCTTTTGACATTCATCCCTTTTGTATCCTGAGCTTTCGCATCCTTATATACTAAACTGAGTTAATCTGAGGGATTTTTATCCATCATATCCAATATGCCAAATAGGTAACAGACATAGGATACATAGGGTGTGGTCTTCATAAAACATTTATTGAATTAAGGTTGAGTAAGAATGTTAGTTGCTTGGAGGGCTCTGCAAACTACTATATAATTGTTTTCAATTGCCTTTCAATATTTCCTCATACTAGAAGTCACATATTTTCACTTACTGTCTTCTTTTCAGCTTAATAGTCTTTTAGTTTGTTCTCTCACTAATATTTATTTCATGTTTACTGAATTTTGAGACTTTTTATTATTATATGGTTTACTAGCTTCAACTGTCTGTGTACTGATGAGACATATAAGTGCTCTTTGACACATTCCGTATAGTTCATGTATTCCTTATAGTTTAATATATATCTACTGCATATTTCAGAAGGCCATTTTTCTAGTGATTCAAAATCAATTCATGAAGTTTTATTTTTAGTAACTAAAAATGTCTAAAAATCATTTTTCCATATGGAATTTTTTTCATTAGACTCTCAAGTTGGTTATTCTGGTTTGGAGTGTTGATTCATGGTTTTATAACATATGCTTTAATGTTTACCAATGCTAGGCTCTGTTTCAGGTATTCTTTTAGATTTGAATGTTCATCTTTATTAATTCTTTTACTAATTTAAGACAAGGATCAAAATATGCTAGTATTTAAAGAATCTTAGTGTATGCCCACGCTAGACATCATGACCTCTCTTGGCTAGCTATCAGGAAGGTAGCTATGATCAGTCATCTTCTATTATTATTGCTTTCCCAGTATTTAGTAGCAATATTTTAATAATTTACTACTGATTTCATTTTGGAACATTAGAAGAAAAATGGTTTCTTTAGAAACAACCTTTTAAATAAATGATAGTGTAGAGACATTTTCCTGGAAGCTATAAAGTAACCTGTTCAAAACAGTTGGTTTTGTCAGGATATTTGGATCTTCCCTTTATTTCTTTGGGGGAAAAATGAGCTCTGAAATCCTGTCCTGCTTTGGAACATGCAAAAAGCATTACAAAAAATTTTCAAGCTGTCAGAAGTAAAGAAAGTATGATAATTTAGGGTAATTAAATGCTTAAGACAATCAAAATAGAAATGATCCTAGCAAGCTTTTCTCACTTGAAGGAACTGTCTTAAAAAGTAGCTTTTGATCTAAGTATTTTTCAATAAGGCTGTTAAAAAATATAGCAATCCACAATATGGAATATTTTATTTTAGAGAAGAAGTATACCTATATGTGTGGACACAGAAATATATGTGGTTGTTTTAAAAAGATAATGAATAATAATTATCCCATTCATATAAAAATAACAGAAACAGAAACAAAATATACATAAGACAGGTGGGGTAGAAAGATACACCAAACTGCCCTTAAGTCAGCATTGAGAGCTTATGTTTCTGTATTAGTTACTCTATCCAGATTATGAGCTACCTTGTTGCCAGATCAAGTGCCAAATACCCAATTACATTTGAATGCCAACTGTAAACACCCATTTTATTAGTGAAACGATATCTCAAATATGATATGGAACATACTTACACGAAAATTATTCCTTGTTTATCTGCAATTTAAATTTAACTGGTATCTGTATTTTTATTTGTGAGATCTGGCAACTCTAAGGTGTTATAATTATCAGTCCTTGAACTCTTATCCCTAACATGGGTGCAAATAAAATGGGTCATTATAAATGACATTATTGAGAGAAAGGCAAGAACAGTAATAGCAGGGGATTTTGGCGAATGTGTTACATATACTATGTTAATTCCCATGGCAATGATTTAAAGCTTTACACGTAGTCCCATATTAGAAATTAAGAAATGGAAGTATACAGAAGACACACAGAAAGTGTTGGAACCAGAAAGGCTCTTTTTTGATCCCCATTCAATCACCGTAACATGTTGCTGGCTACTGTGAAGTGTATTGCTCTCGCTTTCTCTCTCTCTCTCTCTCTCTCTCCCTCCCCCCTCTCTCCCTCCCTCTCTCTCCTTCTGTCTGTATCTCTTTAAGAAGTCTAAAGAGAACTAGGAGTAAGACTTATGTTCTACCTAAAGAATAGGATTTTGCACAAGCTTCTTACACTTTCCGAGGTAGGACAGGGAAAATATACATGAGACGCAGGCAGATCTGGGTCTGGTTCCCATCTCTGTCATTCTTCATTCATTTGAAGAAGTTACATAATTTCTTTTTGCACCAACTTTTTCACCTATAAAACTGGAGTGAACTAGAGTACGGAGTGGAGTGTGGAGTAAATCAGCTAATTTCTATACAGTACTCAGCATAAAATCTAGTGAGTAGAAGACAGTCAATATTAGCTATTATAAGCTCAAAGCCCTGGTATTTTCATTTGTAAAGTAGAGTAACAATGAAACCCACAATACAGTAAAATGGATGATATCTATCTTGCCTCTGAATCGTTTAGAGGGTCAGATGAGAATGTGTACTATTTTTCTAAATACTAAAGTACATCTCGTCCTCCTGCCAGAGCAGTTGTTCCTCAGATAGAATCAGATTTAATAGCATGTTAGAACATTACTAAAGTTTTTTACCATAAATAATATTTTAGAATTTTCATAAAATAGAACCGAATCTTTGGTGTATAACGTCTGAATTTTACAAGTATACATTCATATAATCATTGCAACTGGGATAAAAAAAATTACTAGTTACTGAAATTCTTTTTTTCAGTGTTTTGAATTTATGTTGCAAAACATTTTTTAAAATAAGAAAAAGGGATTTAGGCAAATGTGCTACAACTGCAAATTAATGAACTGTTGGTTTTTTTTTTGTTTTTTGCATGAATCACTGTAAACTCCAGCCCCTGCAGCTTTTGTCCAGGCCAGTTTTGCGGTTGATTCTGCAGATCCTCTCTTTCTACCAAACGAATTAGTTACAGATCCAGAGTTGGGACCTTCAATGCCAAATACTTCAGGAAACTTCGGCATTTCTCATCATTTTTTATACCAGGTCTAATTTTTATTTTTCAACCGTGTTTCCCCTAGTTGTTACTTTCTCTTTTCAAAATGAAGAAGCCTGAACCTCCTCACACGTTAGAGAAAATTATTTGAGTGGGTCAGAATTTTGTGAGAGCCAGGATATGTCTTTCCAGACCAAATCCTTCTCATACAATGACACATCTTTCCTATAAACCTCTGTGTCCCTTTCCCTAACTCCGCCTCCCTGCCCTCAGTTGGGCAACCTCTGGGATGCCTGACTTTGGGACAAACTTGTGCTCTCCTTGATAATTCTCCCCTCTCAGCCCCATCTCACCCGTGGGCCAAGTGACGAGGCTGACACCGGCGCCACATCTGGTGAAGGGGGGCGGATTCGCTTTCTGGGTGACTCACGTCCTTGGTATTTGCCTTTTGTTTCTAAGATGCTTTGGCTGCTCTTCTCTCTGCTTTTAATTTTGGGACGAGAAAATCTAATGAATCAAGAATGAGTCCCTTCTCCACTGTCCCCACCCCCTCTCCTAAAGTTGCTCTCTGCTCACAAGTTGCACAGTTGCCCGAGACGTGCGGGGGCGGGGCAGGCGGCAGCGCATTAGCGCCGGCAGAATCCGAAGTTGACAGCCTAAGGTGCCACCTCGGTGGGAGACTTTTTGAAGCGACCTTACAGTCCGCTGGGCGCTCGCTGCTGCCGCTGTACATTTTCAGCTCGCTTCTTTCTGCGGCCGCTTTGTGCTGCTCCGTCACGCCGAAATCTATGTCGCCACTGCCAAAGGTGCCTGAAGCAGGGTGAATTACACGAGAGTCGCCAGCAGTTTTGTTCCAGGCCAAGGTAAATACAGTATGCAAAATAAGGAACCACCAAAGGATGCTGGCCAGGGGGAAGAGAAAGGGATTCCCTCACCTTTTCCAGCGTGTTTCTCGATCGCCTCCACCAGGAGGAGGCGCGCAGCCCGCATCCCCCTCCTCTCCCTTCTTAACTCCCCCACCTAGGGCTGCCGAAGGCCGCGGAGAGGACACAATCCTCTGGCAGGCCCGGTCCTCCCCCGCCCCCGGTTGGTTTTTCCCAGCTGTGGAGGTCGGGCCAACAGCTGGGGTGCGAGGGGTGTCGGCCCCCACTGCGTGGAGCCGGGAAGGGACCGCGACTCTGGGGCGCTTGGAGTTGGCTTTGGGCGCGGCGGGCGAGGAGGTGAGAGGGCCGGGGACCCTCCCACCCTCGGGCGGGAGAGCAGCTGCGGTCCCGATTGCCACCCGCCCGAGGTCCCAGTCGCTTTGTCCGCTGACTCCCTCGGCCCCTTCGGAGATGACCTGAACCAATCTGAGATCCGAGAGGGCCTGGCGGGGCGCCTGCTGGGGGCGGCAGCGGTGCGGCCCTCCATTTCCTACTCCTGAAGAAGGTACGAAAGAAATCCAGACTCCCGTAACCTGAAACTCCTCTCCGTCCGACCTGGAGCAGAGGGAGAGGCCCCGGCCGGCCAGGTGGTCCGCGGAGGCGGGGGAGAGGAACCAGGAGCGCGAGAAGTTTGCTGGGAAAGACGCCGGGGATTAAGCGAAGTTAGAGGCGGGAGACGCGTGTGAACGCGGAAGGAGGCGGGCGGGAGCGGGAGGCGTATATATAGCGCGGGCCGGGAAGAGCGAGGATTTGACGCTCCGAGTCCTGGCACACGCCTCCCTCTCCGGGTAACGCAGCGCGGAGGGCTGGGGACGGCGAGGCCCGTGCGGGCGCACGGCAGACCGCCTCGGGGACACGCTGGGGACGACCTGGTTCGCCCAGTCGGTACCTGCTCGCGGGGAACCGCGGCCACCGCCTCACCCCACGCTTCTCTGTCTCGTCCCAGGTCGCACAGCGGACCGAGAGACGCCGACAGAAGAGACGACGAGGTGCCACCCGGGCGGCGGCAGGAAGGGCGCGGGAGGAGGAGCGCGAAGCCCGGCGTCCGGACCGCCGTGCGTACTTTCTGGAGGGAAGGGCGGGGGAGTCAGCCCGGGAGGGGGCGCCCGCTGGCCAGCGGCTTAGCTAAGCCGAGTTCCGGCCACAGGGTCCCTCCTCCGCGCCCACGAGAGGAAAGTTTTCTCCAGGAGCTTCCGGCCGGCCCGCGCCCTCCGTGCCCAGCCCCCGGAGCCTTCGGAGTGGGCGCCGTCCCAGCCCGGCTCCGGGCGCCGTGAGCCGCGATGCCTGGGGGGTGCTCTCGGGGCCCCGCCACCGGGGGCGGGCGGCTGCGGCTGGCGCGCCTGGCGCTGGTCCTCCTGGGCTGGGTCTCTTCGTCCTTTCCCACCTCCTCGGCGACTTCCTCCAACGCCTCCGCGTCGTTCCTGGCCTCGGCCGCGTCCGCTCAGCCTCCTCTGTCCAGCCAGTGCCCCGCGACTTGCGAGTGCTCCGAGGCGGCGCGCACCGTCAAGTGCGTGAACCGTAACCTGACCGAGGTGCCCGCGGACCTGCCTTCCTACGTGCGCACCCTCTTCCTCACCGGCAACCTGCTGGCCGAGCTTCCCGCCGGTGCCTTTTCCCGCCGCCCGCCCCTGACCGAGCTGGCTGCACTCAACTTAAGCGGCAGCCGCCTGGCAGAGGTGCACGCTGGTGCCTTCGAGGACCTGCCCAGCCTGCGGCAGCTCGACCTCAGCCACAACCCGCTCTTGCACCTTAGCCCCTTTGCTTTCTCGGGCATCAACGGCAGCGCCTCAACCCCCAGCCCTTTGATGGAACTGATCCTGAACCACGTGGAGCGCCCCGCTCAGGACCAGGACCAGGACCAGAACGAGAAGAACCAAAGTGTGGAGGTCATGGTGGCATCGGCCCTGCGGGCGGGCCACACACTACGTGGCCTCCGTCACCTGGAGCTGGCCAGCAATCACTTTCTTTACTTGCCCAGGGACACACTGTCCCAACTGTCTGGCCTCAGGCACCTGGACCTGCGTAACAATTCTCTGGTGAGCCTGACCTACCTGTCCTTCCGAAACCTTACACACCTAGAAAGCCTCCACCTGGAAGACAATGCGCTCAAAGTCCTTCATAATGGCACGTTGGCGGAGCTGCAAGGCCTGGGGCATGTCAAGGTGTTTCTGGACAACAACCCCTGGGTCTGTGATTGTCACATGGTAGACATGGTGACGTGGCTCAAGGAGACTGAGATAGTGGAGGGCAAAACCAGGCTCACCTGTGCATTCCCGGAAAAAATGAGGAATCAAATCCTCGTGGAACTGAACATCTCCAGCCTGGACTGTGATCCTGTCCTCCCTCCTTCTCTGCAGACTTCTTACGTCTTCCTGGGTATTGTTTTAGCCCTCATAGGCGCAATTTTCCTCCTCGTTTTGTATTTGAACCGTAAGGGGATAAAAAAGTGGATGCACAACATCAGAGATGCCTGCAGGGATCACATGGAGGGGTATCATTACAGATATGAAATCAATGCGGACCCCAGGTTAACAAACCTCAGTTCCAATTCAGATGTCTGAGAAACGTTAGAGATAGGAAAAAAAATAAAGAATTTAAAAAAAGGACAACTCAGCATGAGGTGTAGACTTAAGCTTTATCCATACTAGGTTTGCTCCACTTCCACCCTCCACTGTAGACACCACAGACTTTAAAAGCAGTGAAGGGGATTTGCTTCCATGTTGTGTAAAGTTTCTTGGTGTGCTTTGTTAATATAAGACAATGAACAACTGTGCAGTATTTTGCCCTCTTTTCTTGGAGCTCCTCAACACGTGTGGAGGGACTTTCAAGTTTCAGCATGAACCTGGACTCCTTGCTGTCTTGTCTCTCTTAGTACATTTCAAGGTGTAGCACGTGTACCTGCACAGATAGCATTCAACAAAAGCTGCCTCAACTTTTTTTAGAAAAGTACTCTATTCATAAATATCAGTTTTATTCTCATGTACCTAAAATTGTGAAGAAAATAATTGCATCCCATAAACTGCCTGCAGACCTTAGCAAGCTCTAAAAATAACTCCATAGTACACAGGAGCACCTGCATCCAAGAGCATGCTTGCATTTTACTGTTCTGCATATTACAAAAAATAACTTGCAACTTCAGATTACTTCATTGACAAATTACTTTTTTGATTGCAGTTTATATGGAACTATTGAATTTTTTTATAAACTGCATGGAGAACCAACAAACTGAATTGTTAAAAAAAAATCAATAAAGATTCCTAAAAGAATTATAGTGTGTTCAAGTTTTGTATTTGACAAATGAGTTAAGGGTAATGTTAATGAATGGTCTTTATTCAGGTGCTAATTACATTATTAGCATAGCTGAGAATTTTACTGGAGCAATGTCTTATATAAATACCCTTTGGAAATAATTTTGAAATGGTGGATTCTTTTAGGATTTAAATAGAGAGTTTGAATATTTATGTGACTAGACTTCTGGTCCCAGAGTTAAATGCTATTCATGGAACAATTTGCAAGAGCCTTATAAAGTTGGTAAAAGACTTCTGTACCATAAATAGTTTATACTTTGAGGCTTTTGCTAGACTAATGAAGTCAGTAGGACAGAACATTATTTACTTAATAAACCTATCTGAAATTAGTCTACGGATGTTTAGGGCAGTGTGAAACAAATGTAATGCAAATAAATGTATGAAAATGGAGAATCTTAAATTCAAAACATTCTGAAATAAAGATCTTTAAACATAAATTTTAAAATGTTTCCCAAGGTTATAAAGGAAATTGGAATTAGATTTTCTACAGAATATTTTTACAAATTTAAAGTGGAACATAAATGGTCAATAAGTTATCAGATATCCAGGTAATATATTTTTAAAATGGCCATGATTAAATAAATTTTAGCTAAGGATATAACCAGAGATAACATCTGTCTATAAATAAATGCCTCAATCATAGGTTCTTATGTTCAGTATTTTAAAAATTTGAGGATATTTTTATTTCAGCTTAGCTCTCTGTATGTAGGCTTTTATGAGGAATAAATCATATTTAGGTTTAAATACAATTCTTAATTGATGCCATCATTAACAGACAATATTTTTTGGTAGTTTATCATGAAGTTTTAAATCCCATGTTACCTTTAACTTAGTTGTGTTCTGCATAGCTTTGTTTGAAATAAATTTATGATTCCATATTTTTATAAATAAAATAGTACCATAGGTTCTACTACAAGTCTTATTGATTCCTTTTTTGAATTCAAAAGTTTTCAAAATAGTACTAACAGCATGTGAATCTATTCCTTGTTTATGGTACATTATATTCAGAATACGAAGCTTTCATTCCTTAAATTTCATAAGATTCATTTTATGAAACATTAAAGTATGATGATTTATATTTTAGATCTTTCAAATTTGTATAATAAAAGCCTAAATACATGAGACTTAATGTTTTATGAAATATTTCAAGTGTTCACCAGAAATTCAAAAACTGACTGGGTTACATTTAATTCCTAAGAATAAGGAAGATACTAGATTTTCACAAACAGTGAAAACATTTACTAAGTAATAGTACGCTGTTTTAGGAATAGGCTTTGGTACATCTGTTGGTAGATTAACACACAACAAATTACCATATAGGCAGCCTTTGGTCAGAGAGATTGTTTAACACCTTATAAAGTTTAAAATTAATCTTTAAGGATTAGGGAAGTAGTAGATTCATTATTTTTCTCATCAATTCCTTGAAGCAGTGATGAATCTGTGATCAAATTAAGCTGAATTTTTGCCTGTTAGGTGAGTGGCTTTTTTGAAGTTATGATTTCTTTCTTTTCATCCTTTTCTTTTTTCTTTTTCTTTTTTTGAATTTCCCAATTTGCTACTGCTTTGTTTCCTATCACATCACTGCTTGCTGTTTTTTAAAATATGGCAATAGAAAATTCTTAAGGTTAAAAAAAAATTGAAAATTATTGATACAGTTATAATATGAAATCTGTAAGTTCAAGACAGTCTAAGCTCTTCTTCATAAGGTAGGTATTATATAAAACCAGTAAGTGCAAGAAAATATAGAAAATACGAAATTACATCAAAAGTTTCATGACTTTATTTTCAAAATGAAGTAAATATACTTGTTTTAAATATTGTTCTTTACCATTATGCCTTATTATTCCTGGAAACCTACAAATCATCCAGTTTTTCAAGTTTTATATTGGTTGGGATTGTACTTTATTGCTGAGCTTAAGTATTCTGAAGAAAACATTCTTAATAAATATACTTTATAGATTTCATTAGAAAAAGTTAGAAAAATACCTTAAAATTTTTATTCCTTAATTTTAAAATCTATTAAAATGTACAGTAAATTTCTATTTAAAGACACAAAATTTTTAGGATAATACAGCTATTTGACTGAATTGTTTCTTTGTAATTATTTAGTTTGCAGCCTATTTGGTAATACGAATTTTACTGCTAAGACTGGTGGGTCAGTGGTGGCCTATAAGACACATTCGTACAGCAGGTGATAGATTTTTCTTACAAGAGAACTGAAGTACATTTGGTAGATTTTTTCTTACTTTTAATTTTAGTTTTGACTTTTTTAAGGGACGGAAGCTTTTTACTTACAGAAGTTCAAGGGAAGTCTGGACTGAAATAAGCAAATGACAGTTGGTAAATTCTTTTGAAATACGTTGATTGACAATGCATGTGGATTATGCTCATCCAGTATTTAATTAGAAATAATGTACATCTTTGTTTACAATTTTTTAAAGCGATAACAAAGAAAATCCAAATTATCTATGTTGTCTTCTTGAAAATTGTTTTATTTTGTGACTTTTGACCTGATGTTCTAATATGGGGCTTAACTTTTGAGGATGCTAGAGTCTTTGCAGCTCTAGTTTGCAAAAGTTCATCTCTTACATCATTTCTTTCTGTTTTAATTTTTCTCCAAAGAGTACATTACAAGAGACACTGTGAGGACTTGCAAGGTTAAAACCAATTTGCCACTTGCTTTTTTCCTGCTCTCAAATCCCTTCAGTTATCCAACCTGCAGTGCAACACTAAAATGAAGACATTTATAAGATAAAATTCAGATTTCTTTTTTGCACTTGTGGAAGGATTCTTAAGCAAAAGAAAAATTATAGTTCTAGATAGCATATGAAAAAGTGCTTTAATGTCTTAAAATTAGCAATACTGCAATGTTGCACTAGAAATTAGTGTAAGAAAGTATATTCTACACTGTCCAGGTGATTTTGTTTCCTTTCAGATGGGAAATGAAACACTTGGTGGATGCATTATACAGTTAATTTTTATTCATACCCTTAAAGACTTGATCCAAAAGGAAGCTTTTGAAATTTTGTGTTCATCTTAGAACATTTTTGCAGTTCTATCTTTGCCATGGGTTAAAAAAAATCCACATTTAAAAAAGTGTTAAATATATGATTTATATAATTTACAAGAATATGAATTCTTAGTATTTCATAGTCACACGGGCTCTTAGACATGTCAATCCCAGTTTTGCATTCTACAAATGAGAAGCTGTGTTACATAATGAGAGGCAGGACAAGATCCCAGCGTTCCAGGGATCCTGTGTAGTGATCTTTTGGTCAGGTGATGGTGTTACTATTTATCTACTTTAAGATTTTTGAAGTTTTAATGACTAACTTAAAAAGGCTGTTGCTTTGTTGAGTTTGTTTCATTATTTTGCTTTGTGTGAATGTTTCAGGTTACTTCAGAGTTCACTTTCAGACTGCTAAACGTTCCACCCTGAATTTACTTACATGTATTTGAAATATTTTTTCCCTGATATTCTTACTATAAAGCCCTTCTGCATTCGTGACATAATAGGAAACCTTTTGGAAATTTAATAGTGATATTTCTTATGGGAAAAAAAAACCATAAAAACTCTGGAATGTGCTAATTTATGTAATCCTACTTTGAATTTGAGTTAGGACAGCTGGTGGCAAAATCAAATGGAACCAAGTTCAGGGCCTTAAAGTTAGTTATCAGGTGAAACGGTCAGCCTTGCATGCTATGGTGTGCATGCTGTGATGTCTACCTTTCTGGCATATACCGTACCATTCTCCAAAGGGTAGCGTGAACAAAACAGGGAAGCTAAATCAATGCAAAGCCATCATCACTCTGGAAAATCAATGGACAGACCAGGCAAACCTTGCCAGCCCTATTGCTGATAGGCCAGTTTGCTGGCTATACAAATGTGAGATCACACATGACAATCCCACCTCTTATTATAAAATATGCCAGGGAGGACAAATTGTTACGTGAGTTTTTTGAGAGGACTATTTTTTGACTACCTTTTAATATATCCTATAGGAAATTAGGTTTACTTATTATTTAAAGTGAAAGTGTGATTTAAGATTATTGTAATTATATATCATAAATTTTAGTTTAATGTTTATAACATAATTTATATTTATCTGACTTTCTAATAATGGGATTTATTTCTGGTTCACAATTTAAGTAGGTTAATGTAAGGAATCATTTGTTTTCAAGGAAGCAAAAGCTAAAATGGGACCAAGTAGTACTTTTTATGAAAAATATTTAATAATATGTTTTAAAGAATCTAAGGATGTTATCAAAATAGGCACTTCTAAAAATGGAAGCTCATAGATTTCTAAGTAGTAAACTGTATTCAAGAAAACTTTAGTTTTCAGTCATATACAGTCTGTGGTTATTCTTACAGATCATTCTAACATGTAGTTATAAAATCTTTAGAAGATGAAGATACTCTTTTTTTTTTTTTTTTTGCACCAGGCATCGAACTGATGACCTCATTCTTGCCAGGCAAGCGCTTATGCCACTGAGCTAAAACCTGATGAAGATATTCTTTTAATTTAACTCGTATTTTGTAATATATTTAAAAATATAAAAGATAGGGAAATATCAGGAATAATCCTATCCCTAAGGAAAAGTGTCATCATACTGAGATAAACTGCTTTTTCTTTATGTAACTTGTACCTTGCCTTTTTACTTATAGTGTTGTAAATACTTCCCACTGCAATTAAAACTTTTTATCTGGGTTTAGAGTACTGTGAACAATCACATTTTACACAGATAGGACATTTCTTGGAGTTTTAAATAATGTTTAGTGAACATTGCTTTTTAATTTCCATGCCTAACATTTTCCCCCTTAAGGTAGGGGAAGGTACTTGAAGGAAAACTACTGTACTGTTTTCTAACTTTAAAAAACAATTTTGATGTGTACTCAGATTAGATTATTCATCATATATTTTAAAAGGTTCATATGTTTTACCGATCAACAGTTTTTA